CTAAGAGAGAGCTTTATCTGTTTATCATTTAGCTTTGTGATCTGTTTATTTGAATGTCACTTTGGAGTCTGGTAAGTGGACTGAGTGGGTGAGCTCTTTCAAAAGTCAGCTATTCAAAGGTCGTCATTCGTGAATCATCGGCTTGGATTTTCCCATTTGATCTGACGTAAGTGATCACAAGACTAGATGCGGGGACCTCTGATGTGGCTCCCCGCCCCCTCATAGATGACTCACGAGACCTCAGAAGAAACCACGGAGGCCCAAATGGCCGATCTGGGGGATTCAGTAGAGGACAGGTATATGGCGGAATCCTGAAGTCGATGTACGGACCTTTAAAGACCCTTCTGTACATTTAGACCTCACCGGCAGGTAGGTGCGATGTCTGTTCAGATGACCGTCAAATCCAACGGGATGCCATAAATAAACTACACAGAATCACACTACACACCCTACGAAGATTACATCAGCAGACTGATGATAGAATACAACCCTCTTTGGGGACCCAATTTACTATAACTTATTGAAAACAGTAAAAAATGTAATACCTTGGAAAATGCCGGTTTCAATACTTTTTTAATCGGCTTCATTTACACTAAATGATTTATCAACACCTTTAATACTTTTTAAGACCTCGCGGACCCCTTTAGCGAGCATGGCGCTGATGGATCTCTGGGGTCTGAATCAAAGTAAAGCTCTTCCTGCAATTGAATAGGTGGTGGTTGCTAAAACATACATACATATAGTAGACTTCTTTTTCCACTTAAAGGTGGGGTAGGTAAGTTTGAGAAACCGGCTCGAGATACACTTTTTGTTATATTCCATGGAATGCTCTTAACATCCCGATAGCAATGAATATCTGAAGTGCTTTGACAACAAATCCATACAAAAATGTCCTCTGTGGAAGCCGTGGCGCTGTAAAAAGCACGACCAATCATCTGAGCCGGCCCGGCTAAAATAACTGGATGGCCTACCTGCCTGTCAGCCTTCCATCTGTGCACAAACTTATCTCGTGGCCCCTCATTGGTCATGTGCGCGTTCGTGTGTGTTGGAGGAGGGGCTCTGTAAGGAAGTGGCAGATTTGTTCCGGTTGTGTATTTTCACATTTTAGTGCACTCAAGCTGGTTTCTCCAAAATGACCTACCCCACCTTTAAGCAGACTGTCTCGGTAAATGTTTCCGGTTCCATTCGATTATTCTATTAAAATTGTGAAAATGCCCGTTTCGAAAAAGCTATTTTTTTTATCAGCCAAAACTTCAAATCTTTCCTTTAAATTGTATAATGCAGATGCCTTCATTTGTTAATCTTTTAGTTTGAGTTTATATGTGTAAGGGTTGTAGGATCCGTGTATGGCTTTTACACACTTGTCTCCTTGTTACCTTTTCTGTGTGTTTCTGTTCTTCTTCTCTTATGTATCCTCACTTTTTTTAAACTCAGATGCTTTGATAGATATAGACGCATTCCCCCTGTACTTTAATAGGGGGAGTCAAATTGTCTTCTCAACACTGTCAAGTCCTCACTTGTGCACCACCGAACATTTGGTAACCAGCTTTTATTTTCCAGTCAACAACTTAATGCTTGGCTGACAAATCAAGGACGAGCAGACAAGAACGCATCAAACTGAATCATAGCTAAATCCTGATTGAATAGCGCGCTGATCTATTTCATATTTATTTAAAGAGATAATATGTTGCTCTCATCTCCACTGAGGGGTTTCCATGCGCCCCCCCCACCCCCCCTCCTCCTCGCTCCAGACTCTGCCAGGACCTTTGCAATACACGCTCTAAGACCTTAATTGCACGGAAAGATGACACAGAAAGGCCGTTTCCACTTGTTTCAGGGAAAAAGACCAGCAAATGTTTGCCATTGTTTTTAACGAGCAGCAGCAGCAGCAGCATTTCATGGAAACCATTTTTCCTTCCACTGTTTTTTTTGTCATGCCATCGAATCAAGAGCTCTGTGTTGTTACTGTTATGGTTGGTTAATGGCAGCATGAAGCCTGTGACTGAAATGGTACCATAAACACAGGTCCATGAGCAATACAAAGAATCACAGTTAAATGAACTACAGATGTTTTCATTACTTCCTGGTTGTGTACGCATGAATATAAAAAATATTTTAGAAGTTAGTGATTATCGGAAAACGATTTTTTCTGATGCAATATATTAAGTGATGTTGTGAATTTAGAGTAACCAAACATTCATTGCTTTTGAATGAAGGTGGCTTTGTCTTCCACTGAAGGATCACAGATGATGGTGGTGGCTATTAAATGTAAACATTTGAGATATCTTTAAAGTACAAACAAATGGGTCATAGTCTTCCAGAAGAATAATGTGAACCAAAATCCTTTACAGACGTAGCCAAAAACCAAAGACAACTTCCAAATAAAATGTCATGTTTGATTTCACTTGGGATACATCTAGTCATATTTCTCGCCACCTGTCAAAGGTAAATCCAAAATTCCCTGGCGTTTTCTCCCCGGTCCGGTCGGCCAATTCCTGAAGACTTTAACCAAATCTTT